CCCGTATAAACAATAGTTACATTTGGCCAAACAAGTGAAAGGATAGTATGTAACAACTGTTAGGAAAGCACTTCAAAAAGGTAATGGTACAAAGAATGAATCAAGATCAGCAGACCTTAACTTTGGTGCTCTTCTTGTTCTTCTGCAGTTCCAAGCACCTCTCATTAATCCGGTTTGCACTGCCCATCTTCAGAACATCTGTAGGCAATTGCATCACCCGTTAACTTGTCTTAGATGCAGTGGCACCTCCTAAAAGAAAAGACAGCATTTTTTAATAGATCTCCTTACCCTTGTTGATGCATAAGTTCTTCCTGGACCCCAAGCACACCGTCCTGATCCGCCCCGCGAACTCCGTCCTCTTGAGCTCCCCGACGAACTGAGAGAGCTGCGAGTGCGTGCGGCTTGTGAAGTAAACCTTGGGCGTCACCTCCTCCTCGTCCTCTTCCTCATCCAGCTCCTCGCCCTCGCTACTACTGCTACCACCGCAATGTGCTCGTTTCCCTACACCCCGTCTCGCGACGTCTTCTCTGTCGCTCTCATACTCCTCGAGTAGGAACTCCCGCTCGTCGTCGCCGCCGTCTTCCTCCCCAAATCCGTCTGGTTTCCGTGAAACCACTGTTTTCCTCAAGGCGGGAGGCTTCGATTTCTTCTTCGTGCTCTCTTTAACCAGCGGCAGCGGTGTGAAATCACGCAACCAGTCGGGCTCGTCGTCGTCACCCCCGGGGCCAGCGGCGCCGCTGGGGAGGGCCGGTGCCGTGGCGGCGGCGTCGCGGTGGTCGAGGAGCCACTGCAGCGCACTGCAGATGATGCTGAGCGTCTTGCCAGTGCCTGCGGGGGGGCATCGAAAAGGGCGCGAGACCAGTAGGCCATTAACTTTTCGAGTACGGCGACGGGAAGGGAAGAGGGAGGAGGATATGGTGGCAGAGTTCTGTATGGTGGTCGGCGACTGACCTGTAGGGCTCTCGAGGAGGGCGAGGGCGCCGGGGCCAGAGGAGAGGGCGGCGTAGAGGAACGACATGAATTCCGACTGGATCGGGTACGGCGCGAATGGAAACGCCGGGAAGTCCTTCCGCGGCGGCGGCGGCGGCGGCATTGGCATTGGCATTTTTTGGCGCGGCGGGAGACTGCCGGTACATTGGGGTTTTCCCGCGCGGCCCGCCCGATGTTGTAGTGTTGATGGGATGGGCTGAATTGGACTGGACCGTGTGGATGGCTTTGGTTTGATACAGTGCATCCCAAGTCGTAAAGTTTTCTATTTCTCAAAAAAAAAGTCGTAAAGTTTTCTTGTTCCTACTGTTTAATGGGCTGTTAGGGTTCGATTTGTCTATATCTCTTATATTTAATACAATCCTAAAACCCCATTAGAAATTTTTTCTCAACATGCAAGCAGTGCAACTCAGCAATTCACTATCACATGTTGTCATTAGTATGTCACAGCAATCCACTACCATTAATTTATAATAATTGATTCCTTCATACGAGTAATTTAGTCTAACTTCGTTTTAATTCATCCGCAATTCTCACAACAGTGCGCGGGGAATGCTTCTAGAAAAATAAAATATCTCAATCAAACAATTTTCTTGACAAGCAAGCGTAGACCCCTACAAACATACATGTCTATACAACCTCTTATATATGGCCCCCTAGTGCAATTCGCCTCTATTTAATTACTTGTACAAGTCCATCCTCAGGGCTAGCAAAGCAAGTCTAGCCTACGCCCCACGTTTACGTTAAATCCAACGTATTCAGCTATGCACACCTCCCTCCTAAACTCACACTAGAGCCTAAGGCTTAGTCTGGCCAACTACATAGTACGCACATTGAAATTATACAACTTCCTATTCAAACATACAGCATGTTCGCTTGTTGGTTTCAATCAGGACTTATCAGCCAGCCAACAGTGTTTTTCTCTCACAACAAAACAGCACCAGACGAGCTTATCAGCCCAGAAACCAACCAACGAATAAACCAATAGCCTTATGGGTTAAGGGTATGCTACATAACACCTAATACAATGCAATCCTAATTCCACGAACCAATTAGACCCATACTAAACTCTATGAACACACACATCATACCCCTATGTACAACTCTAAATGACTTCATGGTTGGGCGCGTTTCTCCAAATCCTTCATGATCACAAGTGGCACACTAAGCAACGGTGGAGAGACTGCGAGTGGCCTCTGCATCAAAGAGAAAGATGCAAGCAGGAGGTGTTGTCGTAGTGTGCCCCCAAAGAGCAAGAGTAGGCAACCAAAAAAAAATGCTACAAAAGTAGCTAGCTAGCATTTTTGAGCTAGTTGCCTTTTTCGCGTGTGCACTCGCACAGAATGAATCTTTCCCTCCAACGACTAGCTCCCTTTTCTACTGATTTGATAGATCTCAAGGTTGACCAGGTTAGCACAGCATTTTTTACCAACACATAGCCAGCGATTGAAAGAACTGTAATGTTAGATCTATAATAATCTAGAAAAATGTGAGTACATGTACCAAGTTGAGGATTTATTATCCATCTATATCTATATCTATATCTATATCTATATCTATATCTATATCTATATCTATCTATATCTATATCTATATCTATATCTATATCTATATCTATACCTCTTATAAACCTAATTCCCATTAAAGTCTTTATTAACATGCAAGTTATCCACATCATCCCCACTAACTATCCACATCACCACCTTCCACTAATAGCCATATCATTCCACTAACTTTCAACATCTTAATGTAAGCTATTCACATCATTTCCATAATTTTATTCCAAAATCTTCTCAATCCCCACATCAACGAGCAGGATGTCTTCTAGTACCACACATTTTTTATCAAATAATTCTAGAGCTAGAAATACTCAACTAATATTTCATTCCTCATCCACAAAATTTCTCATCCCCGTTTTATAAGTTAAAAAATACTTAGAGGGAGCCTGTTAATAACTTATTATAAGCTAGACAATAACCTGAGTCGTTTGGATCAACTAAAGCTTTTATTAGCAGCTAGCAACTTATTTTAGTGAATCCAAACGGGCATAAATAACCTACAATAGTAACGATGATATTGTGATAAACTCAATAACTATGATAGCAACAAAAAGTTCAACAACAACTATATACAATCAAAAGATGACAATAACCCATTATACATAGATCTGTAGCTACTAGCTAGTTTGCATATATAGTAAATGGTTAATCCTAGAACTAAATATGGAAAATCCAAATTGCATTGATGCCTCCAAGAGGGAAAGCGGCGCCCACGAGTGTCACCGTCGACAAAGCATTCGCCCAAGGTGCCCTCCAGCACAAACGTCAAGCTAAGATGCTGGATCCCTAGTCTGTCGCCACCGCCATCGTCGCTACCCTGCCATCCCACAGAAGCCCCTCTAGAGGGGCATCGACGTGTTGGCTGCACACAATAGCCGCACAACTGCATCGCCCTCCACCCCCTCTGATCGGGCAATGCACGGAACCGGAACATACCCTGTCGTGCACGTAACACTGCCACACGCCGAAGTTGTCATCGGCTCTGGCACCCGCTGTTGATGTTGCCGGCGACCGCCAGCCATCGCCAAGCGCGTGCCCCACCACCGCGGGTGCCGCCTCTAGCCTAGGGGACGCCGGATCCGGACGCTAGGGACAGTGGACCCGGTGCCCCAAGTTGGTGCCGCCGCCTCCGCCATGGCTGCCACCCTGACGCCGCCCCATGCCCTAGGGGCGCCGGATCCGGCCACCCAGACCCTGGAGCGGCCCAGGCCAGCGCTGGCACCGCTGCCATGTCCAAGGAAGGGGAAAGCAAAGGAGAAAAGGAGCCCTGGCACCGCCACTTTGCGCCAGCACGAGCTCCAGCCGGTGTCGCTGTAGCTACAGTATGTAGCGCCCCACGTAGCCAACACCGCCAACCGCAAGGAAGAGCTCGTCGCCGCCCTCCCGGCGAGCCACACGATCCTGCCGACGGCTAGCTCAGGCGGCGGCGTGGCAGAAGAGGGGAAGAAGGGACGTGGGACGGCGACTAGGGTTGGGGAGCCACCCGAGTCACCTGCATGGGGGCGGCACTGGGGTCGCTGAAGAGCTATGAACTACGTTGTAATTTTTGTTGAAAGCAGGACAGGCAGAATGATTTGATTCCTTAGATCAAACACGATATTAGCCTTTCCTTTTTTTTCCAGCTGCCAAATGCTTACTCAAACAAAGAGGCGATGCAGTTATGCGGGCCAAAAACTAAGCAACGTGGCCCACCGCCTACGCATTACAGCCCCGTTCGTTTTGCTGAAAAAAAACAAGCTGAAACACTGTTCCCGCTGATTTATTGTGACCCTCTATCATGCTATGTAATGCAACCGAACAGACTCACGCGACACGCAACACTTGCCTCAGTTGTCAGTTCTCATTGGCTTCGATTTCCTTCATCTCATCTCAATCTCCCAGGAAATCACCATTCAAATTTTCAGCTTGAGGAAGCGATAATTTGAGTAAAAATGACACAGCCCACAATCTTCCATGACAATTACCATTTAACACGACGCGATCTACTGTGATATGGCCATATAGGCCAATGGCCAATGCGTTACCTGTTGGCAGTAGGCTGTAGCAGTGGGCCAGTGGCCAATAGAGCGTCATTCAATTTTCAGCTGGAGGAGGAACTGATGAGAAATTGAGATGCTAAAGTAAAAGCGACACTGCATGCATAATCTTTCCACGATAAATAAATAGATAGATAAATAACCAGCCGCGTTTCATACAACGTAGCCCACTCTGTACATTCAGGTAGTTTTATACTGACTAGTAGAGTAACTAATAGATGCAATCGATCAAAAGCTCCTCCTGTGATCCCTCTGCACCATCGAACCAAGCAGGCAACACCTGGAAAGATCCAATCCAAGCAAGAACTCGGTCGCGTCATCCCCCCACGCTTTGCATTGGCGTGAAGCTCGGCGACTTGGGGCGTGCGTGCATTGCCTATGCTTCCTCAGCAGCACAGGCGCGTCGTACGTCCATAGATCACTGTTTGCCCCCGGCGCCGGCCTCGATGTCGTTGCTGTTGGTGCTGCCGTCCTCGCCCTGGCTCTCGTGCAGCTCCACGATGGGCTTCATCTTGTGGTCCGTGATGGCGATGCAGATGTCGTTGGGGAAGAGCTTCCGGAGCACGAAGGCGTGCACCAGCGTGGTGACGAACAGCGCCGTCACCGTGAGCACGGCGACCGCGGACAGCGCCACGCAGAGCGCCTTGGTGAAGGCGTTGTCCACCTCGGTGGAGTAGCGGATGGACGCGATGGCGGCGCCGGTCATCGGGAACGTGTACGCCCACCACGCCAGCGAGAAGCGGAACCCCTGAAAGAAGTTGATCCGCACCGCCAGCGACGCGTACAGGAACATGGCGATGAAGTAGGCCACCCGGGGCCCGTACCCGAACTCGCCCGTGATCTTGGCCAACGCCATGCTCGCCACGCTGGGCGCCGCCACGAAGAGGAAGAACACCGGGTGGAGCTCCTTGGGCAGCGTCTCGTTCGTGGGGAGCCGCTGGTACAGCGTCACGAACAGCACGCTGTAGTGCGCCAGCCCGACGGAGAAGAAGAAGACGGGCCCTTCCCTGAGCCCCATGTTGGCGCCCAGCAGCGCGCCCACGAAGTTGCCCACCACGGACAGGTGGTTGGACGGGTTGGCCACCTTGGACAGGCGCCGCTGCCCGCCGGACATCCACTGCCCGTAGATCTTGAGCTCCAGGATGAGCACGGGCGCCATGAGCGCGTACCAGAGCCACTGCGGCAGGGGCTCCCTGGCCACGGACTGCGGCACGCCGATGGCCAGGAAGAGGCAGGCGATCCACGGCGCGAAGAAGAAGTTCACCCGGATGGGGTGGTAGTACTCGCGCCGCACGGCCTCGAAGAAGAAGGCGATCTTGAGCGCGTAGACGGACGTGATGGCGCACATGAGCACCACGGAGATGCACCAGAGCACCAGGTTCACCTTGCGGGTCACGTGCAGGAACATGGTCGGCGACGACAACGCGATCGTCTTCCACAGAATCGCCTGGCTGCTCACGCCCAGACACATACCGAACGCCGACACCGGGAACCGGAGCAGGAACGGCCACGCCTTGTCCGACGGCAGCACCAGCTCCTCCGACGACTGAAAACAAGGCAGGAGGAACGATAAGTAACCATGGAAACAGAGCAATGGATGCTAAACACTATCGCAAATGACCACCTCCGACCAGAAATAAATTAGTCCCTTCATTCCAAATTATGAGTTGTTCGGACTTTTTTTCAACGTATCTAGAAAGTCTAAATGACTTATAATTTAAAATAAAGAAAGATTTTTTCTAGAATAGCTTAAAGTCATATTATTTAGGTTTGACTAACTCTATAGAAAGAAGTAGTAGCATCGTTGATGTCACCAAATAATCATATTATATTATGATCTATATCTATTCATTTCAGATTATAAGTTGTTCGGGCTTTTGGATCTATCAAGAGAAAAGCCTTAATTTAATTAAAAATTGAGGGTGTATCTTCCTTCTAGCTCACTGGAAGGAAGAAAAGACTTTTTTTATTCCAGGCTTAACTAACTTTACAGAAACGAGTAGCAACAGCGATGTCATGAAATAATTTAATAATTTATATCTATATCTTATACCTATATCTATTTTTATAAATGATCTTAAAAAGTAAATGTTTCTTCAAACCTCTTTTTTTTACTTTATAGAGCACTGTAACACCTTATATGTTCCGTGTATGTGACTCGGATTCACAATGTATGCTTATACGAGTTAGAACAACTCGTGTCTAACTGGCAGGGAGTCTGGTTTCAAGATGCATTGAGTTGTGTTGCAATGTAGAGATGCGTTTGCTAGTTTTATTATATATATGTAATAAATTATACTAATTTGTTTGGTGTTATAAATGTCGGTGTTTTTTTATAAATTTAGTTAAATTTAAATAAAATAGTTTGATTCAGAATAACTTCTTAAGTTATCACTTCTCATGTATTTCATGCGCCTGAATTTTAAGATGGTTTTAATCAACACTCTTGTACTACCAATTAGTACAACTAAATTGTTATTTTTATGATTTGTTATTTATCTTTGTGTCATAACATATTAAATTTCTGTCCTTTCTGATTATAGTAACAATTGTAACTTTTTATTTTTAATTGTCTTTGTGCCAACATAAATAACGGTTTGTAGTTTTATCTGACGGGTCTTTTATTTTGGAACCGAAAATTACAAATTGTGCCTACAAAAATTATAACAATTAAACCTACAAATTTAATATATAAAATATATGTAATAACTATAGTCTAAAAAACGAAACTTCAGACATCTCGATTTTAGCAAATTTCCTTTTTTTTTATTTGTTTTGGGAACAGAGGGAGTACCGAAACAAATGAAAAAGTGACCGTGCACGTACCTTGAGCTTGTCGAGCTCGGGGCCTTCCAGGGCGGCGAAGAAGCGATCAACTTTTGGCATGGACGTGGTGCGGCTGGTGGTGGCGACGACCTCGTCTTCTTCTTCCTCCTCGTCGACCTCCGGGGCGCCGGCCAGGTGGGTGAGCTGGCGCTCGAGCTTCCCGGAGAAGGTCTTGAAGGAGTCATAGCTCTTGTCCCGGCTGATGACCCTGCTGGCGGCTCTGGCCGCCCTGCTGCCGGCGCGCGGGGGCTGGCCACCGGGTATGGGCTGCGAGCGGAACACCACCTTGTCCGCCGGCTGGTGCGTGAACCGGACGCTCCCCCCTCCGTTCTCCCGCCCGGGCGGCGGCGGCGTCTGCGGCTGCGGCTCGCACTCCGCGGCGGCGTTGGCCAGGAGGGCCTGCCTCCGGAGGCCGTCCGCCGAGTCGCCGGCGGCCCCGCCGTTGGCCATCCCGGGGATGGCGGGCATCACGCCGAAGCCGCTGGGCGACGCCGGGAGGCTGATGGAGACCGGCCGCACGGAGCGGTAGCCCGGCGCCTGGAACGGCGAGTCCAGCTGCGGCAGCACCACCTCGCTGCGGCGCGGCACGCGGTCCAGCGGCGGCACCTGCATGCATCACAGCATCAGTCAGTTGCGAACACAAGAACATGATCAGTCCACGTTCGCCGTGACACGACCGGTGGGCAGAGGAAGACGATCGGTCAGGACTCAGGAGTGAAGTGAACCCACCCCGGGGCGGGACGGCATCCTGGGCGGGCGCGGGCTCGGGCTCGGGCTCGGGGTGGTGGCGTCCTGGGCGTGCGGGCTCGGTGTTGGGGTGACGTCGAAGTCGGCCAGGTTGGAGACCTCCACCTCGGCGAGCAGCGGCGGCACCGCGCGGGGCGTCTTGCTCCTGGCCTCCTTCATGGCTTACCTCACTCGATCAGCTGACTTGACTGCGTGAGAGACCTCAAGTCCTGCTGTCCTGCAGCTGCAGGGCGAGGAGACCGGCTCAGAACTGAATTTAAAGCAACAGACACAGCGTACGTACTGAAAGGAAACGGAAAAAATACTGTTCGGCTAAAGCCCGTTCGACTGGTATTAAAGTCGGCTGATAAGCCGGCTGAAACTGTTTTGTTATGAGAGAAAAATACTGTAGATTTTAGCTAATAAGCCGACTGATAAGTTCAAGTGAACGTGCTTTCATCGCCAAATTGCTCAGAGAAAAGAAAAATCAACAGGAGAACTTACAAGTGTCAGTGCCGAGCTGGACGACTAATTAAACTGAGATCAATAGATTTGGCAGGAAGCTAAGACAAATCTGAATTGGTAAGATAAGCTATACTACTAGCAGGAGATATCTGGACACTTCTTCTGCTCTGCCGATCGAGTTGTTGGACAGCCAGGAAAAACGATCTCGATCAACACCTAGCAGCAGCACCTTTGTTCGATCAAGGAAGCGAGCAGCAGCCAGTAGGGGAGGGGAGACCGACCGGAGCATGTGCTGATGTGCAGGCAACGGGGCTTGGGGCTTTTAAATGGCCAGGCCAGACTACAGAGGCGCCGGCAAAATGATGATGGCTGCCTGACCCTGATGACTGGAGCCTGGAACGACTGCTGCGCCTACGTGTCAGCACCTGCCCGTTGCGGATGCGTACGCCAGCGAATCAAGGCGTCTGTTTCGTTATGGGACACCGTTTAGGGTTACACCACGTTTTTGGGGGATATTTAGGCTATTTAGCGCGTCGCCAACGGCCTGGCCAAATCGACAGCTAGCTGCTATGGAGATGATGAATGACGCGAAATAATGAAAATTGCCAGGCTGAGCACCCGCTGCTTCATCACAGCCGAACATTCATGCCCAAAGTCAGAGACCGTACGTGGATTTTAGGGAAGCCGTGCAAACGTATCTCTTGTACAAGCGCTAGAACGCTCTTCTTTTGTTCGTTCTCTCATCATGCCCAGAGTCAGCGAAATGTAAACTAATGATTTCGTTGGCTGTTGGAAACGCCGCCCTCGTAACCAACTCTTCTTTCATGGCATTCGGGAATAAGGCGCCACATCAGTGCCATTTGCGTGATAGCTTTTCGCATTGGTGGTGATACGACAGGCGGTAGCAGGCTACGAGCATGTTTGGCAGGCCGGGGATTCATTATTAAACCGTTTCTCTCAGAAACAGCTAAATCCTTGCTAAAATAAGTTAGTTTTTTAGAGAAATTAACAGGAGAATCCTGCCAAAGGATTCTAGAATTCAGAGTGACAGCCATAAACATCTACTGTAGGATGACAACTCAGCTGAGAACCAGAAACCATGAAAACCCGTTTGACTTGAAAATGGGCATTAGTGTCTCTAAAAAGACGTTTCGTCTCTAAACACCTGCCAATTGCACCCTAATAATAAGTTTTGATTCATGTATTTTTTTTCTCTAAAAAAACAAAAGTTCGTTTATGGAAGTCATGGCGTTGAGATGGTTTCGCTACGACCAGCGATTGGGGAACTTTTCGCTACGATGCTACGCCTACGAATGGCTGGCCTCGAGGAGGTGGCACCAAGTAAATTGCCATGCAGAAGATGGATGGCAGGGCACCAAATAAATTGAAATCAGGTCATGCGGGACGGGAGATGGATATGCATGGTTAGCTGGCGGTCGTCGACACGTTAGCTGTTGCCAATCAACGTACAGAAACGGCGCGCACGTAATCCGCGCCGTAATCCCCGGCCCGCCACGGTCCAAAGCCCCAGTGACACGCTTGCGGTAGCGGGCGCGCGTGCCCTGATCGGACGCGCGCGGCGCCCGCCCGCCCGTGTCACATGCACGCTAGTGGGTACTGCCAGCTAGAGCTAACTACGGCGATAAAATAAGAACAAACTATGCATGTTCTTGGCGGCGTACGTGCATACGGCGGCGCCGTGATTAGCACCAGTGGATTAACTAAATTAATTATTCCTATCGTGGTAATGAACGGGCATATATCTCTCTCTTATGTAAAGAATCTACCAGCAAAGCGATCGAACGAAACGATACGATTTATATATTACTGACAAGCTGGATCCTAACCTGGGAGGGAGAGATCAGAGTTGTCGTCCACGGCGGCGGCGACCGCAGGAATCGCCTGGCATGTGCCGCCCGCCCGGGTGGTACGGTGTAGGACCGTGGTGGCGTCGCTGCTCGCCGGAAGGAGCAGCGAGCCACGGCGACGGCCCCAACCGAGAACTGGGCCCGGGGTTGCTAATAAGTTTATACAATGGCCTGGCGTGCGCGTGCTGTGCTACATCTGCTGCGCTGGGCTGGAGGCTAAACATGGCGGCTACGTACCGTGATTGTCGCCCCTACAGGAGGAGCCTGGTTGTCCTGCCGTGCCGCGTCCATCCACCCATGCCAAAAACGCAGATGGCCAGGCCAGGTCATCACCTGCTGTTTCCGGTCACGCGTAAGCCGATGTAAATTTTTTTTGTCCCAGACCACGCATGGAGGACATGGTTTTCTTTTCTAGTCGAGAATGAGTGCGGTCTGCGGTCTCGTCTTCTCAGGGAAAAAACTACAAAATCTGACATGGCGCCCGGCCGCAGGAACTTTCGTTGAAGGAAAATATAATAATAAAGCAGGTGACCGATGGACGGGCAGACGCAGGGCCACGTGGTAGGGGCAGGGCACTGTGCCGGCAACAGAGAGATCGCCGGGGATCTTGTGCGTGAGGGCGTCTGTCGTCTGCCTGCCTGCCCCAACTGGCCGGCATAGTGGCACGGCATCTGGATGCATCGTTGAGCCAGCAACTCTTTCTATGCGGCAAAGGCAAACAGCCGGCCGGGCCGAAGGCGTGCACGGTTGATGCCGGGGAAGGAATGGGAATGGGAATCGCATGCAATGCACGTCCATCCACATCCACCAACGCAACGACATGGACAACAACACTGCACTGCACATGTGAATGCGCATGCAGCAGCTGGGTCCAGTTCTTATTACAAGAAAATGTGGCTCGTGGGGGAGAGTCCGTTGGCCTTATTTATTATGTTGTCCGCTCGCTTGCCTTGGTGAGTTTTTTTTTTTTTTTTTTTGCTAGACGCAGGCTTTGCCTTGGTGAGTTGGTGGTGCCGGTGGAGCAGCTCTCTCCCGGCCGCGTCCGCCCGACGCCCCTACGTACCCATATCCATGTGTCTTTTTTTGAGCAAGGACACATATTCATGTGTCAGTCCGTTGTGTGCTTGCTAGTACTGTAGTTGGTACAGGCATGACATGTGATGCCTATTTACGGGCACTCCGGCAGGTGCTGGACATTATCGAGGGATCCTATTCCAATCTTTTTCCTTTCTTCACTGATTGTTTCCTCGGCCACCACAGAATTTTACCCTCACTGGATCCTAGTACAGCCAAAGGGCGCGTTCGCTGGTCTGGTTGTTCCAGACCAGCCGGCTGCTCCTCCTCATAAAATATTGTTCATCAACCAGTTACTATAGTGTTTCTCTCTCACAACAATCAGCCAATTTCAGCCAAGTTTTAGACCAGCGAACGGGCCAAAAAGATGAAGGGAGTATTTAAATCTAGGGTCTCAAATTTAGCGATATCACATCGGTTGTCACATGACGGTGTCACATCGAGTATTCAGACAGTAATAATAAAATAAATTACACAAGTCCTCAGTAATCCACGAGACAAATTTATTAAACCTAATTAATCCATCGTTAGCACCACATTGTCAAATCATACAGCTTGTTCACTTATTGGTTTCAGCCGAGGCCTATCAGCCAGCCTTCCTCTCACAACAAACCAATACCAGCCGAGCTTATCAGCCTAAAAATCAACCAGCGAACAGGCCGATGGAGTAATCAGAATTAAAAATTTTATCTCACAAATTAGTCTCGATCTATATATTTAGTTTTATAATTAGACTATATTTAATACTCAAACATCCGATCTGACATCCGCTGTGTTTATAAAATGTGATGTGCTGTCGTGCTCCACATTACGTCTACGAGCAATCTGCTGTCCCCCTTTATAAATAAATTTACTAGAGCTAGTACCAGGAGCAGTAGTTGAACTAGTGTGCTGGCCACAAGGCACATGCATTTAAAATTGCACTAGCTAGGTGTCAATTTCAGTCAGGTACGTACTAACAAAGCTACACAACGGTTCCCACAGTTCCCTCTTGGTCCCAAAGCGCACTACTCGTACTCGTGAATGATAATAATTATTAGTCCATCGATCCCAAAGAACAAGTATGTTGTGGCACAGTAGGCATAAGCATGTTTTTTCCTCCATCGTTTACTTCCCAGAAGATAGGAGTAGGATCACTGGACCAAGTACAGGCAATGTTATGTTTCATTTGTTCATTTTCGATGGAAATATTCTCCTCTTGGAGTGTCCTTGTTCCAAAGAAAAACCACGACTGAGCAAAAGGCGCCCAATAACAAGGAACAAACAGAGAAATAGAGCGTAGGTGAAGCAGAAACCCAAAAAAAAAAATGACGGAGAGAGAAGTGCCAGCTTTTTTATAAAAGAAGAAACCAGAGTCTACAAAGTGTCAGCAGAAACAAAATTTGGTTGAAAGATTATGAAATGTGGGAAACAAAACATCGCAAACAAGTTTTATCTAAGATTAGATAGATGGGTATCAGTTGCGGACATTGCAGCATTACTCGGAAACACATAGAGCAAGTGAGACCAAGATGGATGGATCGACTCACCGCTCTGATGAGCGATGATCCCCCGCAATCGAGGAACGCCAAGCCTGAACTCGCTGACCGACGACGCGGTGGCGCGGCGGCAGTGCTCCTGATCTTGAGGGGTGGCAGCCAGGTCACGGCCACTGCGCACTGGAGGAGGAGTGGAACCGGAGATGGGTTGCTTGCGTGTGATTGGAGATCGACGTGTGCTGCGTCCGTGCAGGGTGTTTTTATACGGATGGATCTCTCCTCTGGGACTGGGAGGCAGCTTCCAGGCTCCTCCTTGCCCTGCAACTGCTGTCTCTCCTCCCCTCCCTCCTCCAGTCCGCCACACCTATTTCCAGGATGGAGAGACGACGCAAAAACACGCGGGGGCTGAGGCCCCTCTGTCCCGGCTGTCTCCCGGGCGGTTCTTCCGGGGGGTTACCTGATGCCTCTACTCTGCTGGTTCAGTTTCAGTTTGCTGCCCCTCCGATTTATTTCTACTGATAATATGTAGACGCGGACTCTGTCACACGGACTGCAGCTGAAATGGTGACAAATCGATTAAACAGGGAAGATAATTTCTCTTTTTCTTGCATCACTATTCTATATATACTCCCTCTCCTCCGCTTGCTTTTGATGCACATGCTTCTCTCGTGCAGGTTGGACAATTGTCCATTGGGGACTGACGAAAAAGAATGCTGCTGAATATTTTGCCATATAACTATGCAAACTATTTAGTTTATTATGTACTCCCTCCGATCAGCAAAAGCTATTATCGTTTTGGGAAAAAGAAGTGACCTAAATACAAATTTAAAGTCTTGTGTGATGCTAAAATGGAAGATATATAATTCATAAATTTTAGTACTCCTTTCTTAAAAAAAAAATCACTCCCCCCCAACCCAACCCAACCCAACCCAACCCCAAGCACACACAATTCCTGTCAACCACATGGTATATTACATTTAGGCTCCGTTCGGCTTACCCCATATTCGGCTTGTTCGGTTTTTTTTTTCAGCCGGAACAGTGTTTTTCTCTCACAACAATTCAGCCAGAACAGTATTTTTCAGCCAATTTCAACCAAAATTTTGCCAGCCAAACGGGGCCTTATACTGATAATATCTTTAATCTAATTTTGCTCAATCAGTCTACATGTATCTCCAAGAGCTCCCAAAGTTTGTACGGACCATCATAAACATTTCCCGAATTCCCTTACAAGTTGTGCTAGAAGGACGACTTCTGGTTATTTTTATTCTGAAAAATAAAATCATTTTACTGGACAACGAAAGTAATTAATTTTGCTTTCCTGCTGTACAATTTTTACGTAAAATTATGTTTCACAGGAAATATTTTAGGAGGTCATCTGGATTCTGGATACGACATAGGATGTATTCTTGCAATTTTCATACAGAAGCGTATTAAAAAATAGAAAATTCTTGAGTAATGTCTAATGATCCTTTGAAGGATGTCAACTGAAAGATACACACTACTACAACTTAATAATAATCCTAACCAAAATATCATGCTATACTTTATAGTAGTTTAGTTGTGAACAACTGTATAAACTAATCAGCCAGCTTATCAGCTAGAATCAGTATTTTTCTCACACAGCAAATCAGCCAAGGCTGGCTTATCAGCCGGCTTTAATACCAGCCAAACAGTCCCTAACAAGCACCACAAAGTAGCTGGCACATGCACGTACGGAAAGGAACTAGAGTCTTCTAGCTGGAGTAAAGAATTGTGACGACCAGTGGTTCGCATTCTTACAAATATCGATCTGAACTCATGATAGCAAAGTATCAGCAAACGTCTAACGAGTTTTACCCCAAATTGGATGTGTCTTGATGAATGCAGATCTTTTCAAAAGGGTCCGCGACCTTCAGTCTAGCTAGAAAGGATATAATGCTAGATTAAGGGTAAATCAAACTATCTCAAATGTGATACACAACAAATGTTGATATATTTTTATATAAATTTCAGTTATTTAACATGGGTCGACTTAACACTATGATAAAATTATATTCTTTCGATTTCGAGGACAGAGAGAGTGGCACCTAATTTATTTTCCCACGGGTATGCATGCGGCTTAGAGTTGTTTGTTGTTTGACAAAAAAGACAAACAAAGGCCGCACAACAAATATGGTGAGTTTGGTTTCCTGACTAACTTCTAGTCTGGCTAGAATTCTAGCCTGAACAGCCTTAGCCTGCTCCCACCAAGCCAATCTCTGGTTGTTTAGTTGTCTGTATTATTTAAGCCTGACTAGCCCTAGAGTATGTTTGGTTGCCTGGTTTGTTGCGGTACAATTGTCTCTTCTCTGAATTGGTAAGGTTACCACTTTGAGGCGCGCCGGGATGAAACTGCACTAACCTGACTGCATCTGTAAGTCAAAGGATGAAACAGGGCATGTATTGTAAGAAATCCAGCACGAGGAAACAGCAGTAAAGTGCAGTTTGCTGAATGCATGGCCAGACACAAATGATGCAGCCTGCTTTATTCTCACTTGCGTACTTGATAAAAAAATATAAGAACTGAGGTAACACAAAGGGATTGTTGTATTAGTGAGTCAACTGAGCAGCACATCCAGGGTTGATACTGCTGGTACTTGATAATGCCAATAAACTAATACCGTAGTGTATAACAACAATTGACTACATGTATTGATCTACTGTGAGTCTAGTTAGCATCTTGGCTGCTCCAGCCATTTTTGAGAAACGATTTCCCTGCATCTGTGAGTCTAGTTAGCATCTTGGGTGACTTAACATCAAAGTTCAGAGTTTCAGTTTCACAAAGTGCAGAGTTTCACTTCGCATGAATACTAAGAAATGACATCAATATCAAACTGGGAACAAATCTATCAGCAGAATCCATAAAGAAAATTGAATGATGCTGAAACTCTGCTGAATCAAGAGCACTGAAACTCTGCAAACTCTGCAAGTCAAAGTTGAACCGGGTAACTGAACTACAGTTGTATCAGTCTTCCAATGACTGAATATGTAGATGTTCACACCAAGCATTTGCCGAAACAGACTAGCACACAGCAGTTAACAAGCTAGAACTGTTGACATACAAATTCCCTACATAGCGAAATTCCCTGTCAATTAAATTGGTAGTGTCCCAAGCATTTCTCATATGAATTGCTTAACATTAGTTGAAAGAATTAGCTATGCACAAGCAGAACGTCAGGCTCCGCCTCACCAGATTCACTAGAACGATGGAGAGGTGCGGGATCTCTTGCCGTCGCCACGACTGATTGTCTGATCCCTATTCCCTGCTGCAGGTTTCACTTCAGATTGCGTTGGCTTCTTGCTTCTTGCGTTGCATTCGAGCTGCTGCAACCTGCCGGTCACTCGCCCCTGCCACACCACGCCGGCGCAGTGGACGCGAGGCACTAGGGTGTCGTTCTCCAGGTGCGCGTGCGCGGTGGCGTTGCTACCGCTGGCCGAGCCAGGAGCTTCGCGTGCACGGGCGCCTCGGCGGTGACGGAGGGCAGCACGGGCCTTCCTTGCGCGGCCCTCCGAGCTACGGCGAGCTCGCCGACGCGCCATCCTGCGACCGCACGCCACTCCCGCCATCGTGCGTCGCTCTGCCATGCCGAGCGCGGAGCTGCAGAGGGCCGCCGGAGAGAGGGCGCCCAAACACACCCATAATTGTCTCTAGCTGCCGAACGATCGGAGCTGGCTTTGATCAGGTTAGCGATGTCTGCTGACAGAGTGACAGGGACACTAGCATTTATAGATGTGATTAGCACTAAACACCTGCGACAACAAGGGCCCTGTTCGGCCAGAAAAACAACGGATGCTGATTTATCATGAGAGAAAAACACGGTTATTTCGCTCAAATTGTACGGCTGATAAGTTCAAGCGAACAGGGCCATGAAATGAAAGCGCAATCGGACTTTTAATGTTGTTATTATCGCCTGTCACGCACCGACTCGAGTTCCCCAGCACTTAACCAGTGAGAGAAAGGGCTAATATACTCTACTTGGAAGAAAATCTGTGTGCTATACACTTGTTACTGCACAATCACCCTTTTCTTAGAGCTGCACTACGGCCCTGACCAATTTCTCGGACGCTCCTCAAATGCGGCTCGAGCTCACCAGCCCAACATCCGTAGAGTTCGAGTAAATGTTTCTTTCAGTTCTCGGTGACATAAGTTACTCGCCACCTTCCAAAGTTCCCTAGTTGCAAAACTTTGTTGTCCACTCGTTCCTGTCTCCGACGAGACAGTCACCTTAGTGGGCATGACAAGACGTCCCCATACCCTTTTGAGAGATCCGGCTGCAAGGGACCCAATCGATTGTCGCTGAACGAATCAAATCGAACGCGCGAGACGAATCAAATCCACTGGAACTCTAGGAGTTTAGAGCAGGATCTAAGGTACTTCTGGGTGATGTTGGCCTAGCAAGCATTCAGGATCTTACAAAGGTTTCATGTCCATTGTTCAGTCCAATTTCGCACAATAGATTTGGCGATGACAAAAATTTTGCAAGCCCCACCGGTACAGAAAAGATAAGATGCCGATTCAATCACACAATATACGTTCAGGTCAATCAGAAGGGCATAGTATGTACTCGAAAGCAGATGATGCTGAGTTTGTGCACCAAAACCACGAGTGGATGAAGATGAATGTCTTTCTGGGACTGACGACATGAGCATGAAGGGGGCAAATATACCGAGGTTTCATGTCCGATAACCCACTGTCCCAATGTTCCTTGAGTAGACCATGAGATCTGACCCTCCAAGATCCTATGTTAACCAACCTTTGGCCCTCTGCTTACTTTGCCTTCTTGATGAGTGTTGAGGTGCGGAATTCGGCGTCATCCTTAATGAAGCTCCACCAGAGGTACGTGAGTGGAATGGTGCTCGCATGCCACAGAGAGTGGGCATCGGCATAGCCCATGTATGGAGGAAAGTCGTAGAGTTCGAGAAGCATAGCTAGTGCTCCTCCAAAAACAACTGTCCAAAGCTTGAGTCGTGACGGGTGTTGGCTTACACCACCCCAAATTGCCCATGACAGAAGTTGAACCACAGCCATCACCACACAGACCTTCATGTTCCATCCTGACAAAAGATTCAGCAGATAAACATCTGAGTAGCACCTACATATTTTGCAGAGATGCAACTAATTTGTGTGAACTAAAACTGAAGAAAAATCATTACTAGATCACTAAGAGCAAGCAGGTTGTTGGTCGCAAGCCAAGTTAATCCTTTTGCCTAATATATAGCGGCATTAGGAACAGTAGCTTTGAGTGTGGTTTGAGCCGTATGTGGTGTGGCGGCTCAGATTTGTTTTTTCTTTCCTTCTTGTCTCCTCTCTCTTTGTTTCATGTCTTCCTAGTCAGTAGGCACTTTGCACGCTGGTCTGTTTCCTATTTGTTTGTACTATACTTTTGTGGGCCGTTTCTCCCCTTCTCTTAATGAAACACGTGCATAGCACGTTCTCTAAAAAATTATTACTCCAATGACTGCATTTTTGTATAGCTTTTGTGGAGTAGATCACCAATGACTGCATTTTTGTATGACTTTTGTTAACAAATGTACAGCTGTCGTTAAAGAGGCATACATGGTTGCTGCTGTATTAAAAAAAGGCATGGTAAAACAAGCAGCAGGAGAATGCAAAATCTGTTAAATATGCAACAGATACAAAGTGAGATTAATCCTCGTATAACAATGGCAAATATTTAGCAAAAAGTGAAAGCAGCTTTACCATAGTCAAGCTCGTAGAAGTTAAGATACAAGATGTGTGTTGTAACGAATGCCAAAATAGGGGCTGCAAACATCACCCTGGTAGCCTCATCCTTGACATTGAAAGTCCTTAGCAATGAAAGGATTAACAAGTATCCAAGCAGCGCAACAGCTGAAGAGTAGTCCAACTTCTCAGTCAAGTCAATATCTCTACAGAATAAGCATGTGGAGTTAGATACTGCAGATTACAGTAGTACCTCCAAGTTTCATAATATATTGAAGGCTCTGAGAAACTTCATACCTAGTATGGAAGATGGAGCTCCAGAACCATGCATTCATTGATAAAATTGCATAGATATGCCATAAGCCAGTATATTCATAGTAAGTTCTCTTCGTCTGGGGTCTGAGAGGTATTTTGTAATTCACTAGAAGGAAAAATGAAAGCCAGCCAGTGAAGTGCATTAATAGGTTCATAGCAGATAGTGCAGCTGAAAGAGGTTCCTGAAGAAGGTTGTGAGATGTAATTGAGATGCCGTCAAGAACTAATGATAGAAAAAATTGTTAACTCAGGATCCCGTCTGCACAAAACATACCTGGAACACAGAAACACGTAAGAAAGGCCATTTGCCATGATATTTCACAGGGCTCAGGCCAAGTGATTGGCGTTCCCCTTCTCTCTGCATCATGCAGAAGTAGCGACAATCTGTTATACAGTTCAGTTGTTTCCACTGCACGTAAATTTGCTCCTGGTTGTACCAAGAACCTCCAACAGATGTGTCATTCTCTTTGGACTGGCAGTGGCTGATGATATTCTCCCCAGTAATCCCTGTGGTCTGACACTCCCTCACGCAGGTTCTAAAAGGTTGATCAGCAGAACAAAAGTTTTTCATAAGCTCCTAAATAGTAGTAAGTTGAAGTAATTCATCACAATAAAGGGTAATTACATCAGTGTGGCATCAACTAGGATTGACAATTAATGTGACATCTAGTGATATTTTATTTAAGCCAAATGGGAAGCTAAAAAAAGAAGAGCATACTCAGGTAGTGTTCACTAAAACCAAAACGATGTGAAAATTTACAAAAAATAATTTCAAAATAGTGTTGAGTGTTATTGGTAGTAGGCTAGAGTTATGGGTGGCCAGAGGGCAAGCCCACCTGTCTCTCATGTCAAGGGATAAGGATTAGGAAAAAGATTAGATTAGATCAGGTTACTTCCTTATTTGATTATTTCTAGAGATTAGTTTCTTAGGGGTCAAGTCTCCTCTCATCTATATAAGGATGGGATAGTGTCTCCTTTCAGGAAGGCAATGAAAAAGAAGAATTAATCCAATTCCCCCAAATTACTCTAGTCTCCCTCCAAGCCGACTTTGCTCGGCCATCTTCCTGGCAATGGTTCCAAATAAACTAGGGTTCATAACTGTTATGACCGGCATCCCCTATGCCAGGCGCAGGCCCAATAGTGGCTAGGGAGCCGGCTCTGTTAAGGGGCTTAGAGGCCCAATTTATTGCTTATTTGGTATTTTAAAAAAAAGGGCGTACCCAGTGCAGAGAGCTCCCGCTCTGTGCGGGGTCTGAGGAAGGGTGTTAATGGCAAGCCTTACCCTCGCCTGTGCAATGCGAGGAGACCGCGACTCGAACCCGGGACCTTCCGGTCACAGGCGGTAAGACTCTACCGCTTGCACCAAGCCCGCCCTTCTTATTTGGTATTTTCTTATAGATAAATATAGTTCTTTAATTATAGCATCTATAGGGAAGGATAAATACTTGTAATCTGGGATGATTGGAAGATAAGCAAGGCAAACATTATTTGCCCGGCCTCAAGGGCCAAGGGCGGCATACGTGACTTCCTTGCCTCCCTGCCTCCTCTCACGCACAGCCCTAGGGCAGCAGCAGCGAGCAACCATCGCCTGTTCCTCTCGTCGCCACGGCACCACGCCGTTGCCGAGAGATCAGACCTCACCCTCCCCTCTTCCATCCCTACAACCTCCGCAGTAACTCCGGTTGGACCTCACGTCCTATCAACCTGGTATCAGAGATGTCAGGCCCTAATCCCACCAACACCGTGCCGCCGACGCCGCCGATCACCTCCGCTGCCGCGGTGATCACCGCCTCGCCGCTGCCACCTGCCTCCGCGCCCGTTGCCCAGATGACGCCGGATCAGGTGGCTGCCGCCATCGGGGAGCTGACTCGCTCGGTGGCTGCCATCTAGTCCTACCTGGCCGGTGTGCCACCGCCGCCGCAACCGGCTGCAACCACCCTGCCAGCGGTGCTGCCGTATGGGATGCCCCACTCTAGCACGACGGGCGTTCCCATCCATCTCCTTCGGATGCCGCCTTCCCCTTCGCCGATTCCGTCGTGGGCTTTAGCCTCGACGACCAGCCCGGTGTACACCATGGCGACCTCTCCGGCTGCGACATCAGTAGTGCCACCGCCCACTACCGCCGTTGTGGTCTTCCACGGGGGACCCCAGGTCGATGGCTTTTTCTATGGGGGTTCCGACGGCCCCCTCTTCTATGGACCTAGGCACCTAGGTGTGAGTGCCTCCCCGTCCACAAGCAGTGTTCCGGAGCCCTTCGTCCAGGGTGCGCATGGGGCCCCTCAGGGTGCTCACCCTCCGCGTTTCTACAAGCTCGAGTTTACAACCTACGACGGCTCCGAGGACCCCCTGAATTGGCTCAATCACTGTGAGCAATTTTTCCGAGGGCAGCGTACCCTCGCCTCAGATCGCACCTGGCTCGCGTCCTATCATCTGACTGGTGCGGCCCAGACATGGTATTACGCCTTGGAGCAGGATGAGGGCATGCCCACCTGGGACCGTTTCAAGGAGCTGTGCAATCTGCAGTTCGGGCCGGCGGTTCGTAACACCCGACTGTCCGAACTCGCCCGCC